ACTTCTATTTGATATCAGATATGCTACCTGTTGGAATAAAGCACGGCGAGGAGAAGGCGGAACGCTGGGACTCCGCTGGCACGGATATCGAGGCCGGGCACGTCAGCGATGCGAATGCTGTACCCAAGGAGGCTCTCGTTGAGGGCAACTCGTTATATGCCAGGCTTCAAGCCTTTGCGGGTAAGTATGGTGTTGAACAGCGAGGGATCGAGAGAGTCCCTAGCAATGAGAGGACAGACTCGAGCATGAGTCAAGTTGGTACCCTGGTACGCCCTTTCTACCTTACCACTATCAATATGTTTCTCTCGTAACTTACCCGGACTATAGTGGCTTTCTGCGAATATGGTCGTTTCGTCTTTCGCAATAGGCGCTCTCGCCATTCCGATATTCAATCTCGGTTTTGTTGACAGCGCCCTCACAATCATTTTCATCAATATCCTCGGCATCATGCCAGTCTGCTTCTTCTCGATCTTTGGACCCCGATTTGGATTGCGGCAGATGGTTCTCTCACGTTTCTACTTTGGCTACTATGGAGTTAAGCTAGGTAAGCTAACTCATCACTGTTCTTCGCCAATGCAAGGCATATCTTAAGGAACCATTCGCTAACTAAGTTATATGCAGTGGCCTGTTTCAACATCCTAGCATGCATTGGCTGGTCAGCCGTGAACGTTATTGTCGGCGCGCAGCTCATCCACGCAATCAATCACGATGTGCCCGGCTACGCTGGGATTCTCGTGATCGCCTTCTCAACACTACTCATCTGCACCTTCGGTTATAAACTCGTGCATTTATACGAACGCTGGTCATGGATCCCGAGTTTCGTCATATTCCTCGTAGTTCTCGGAACCTTCGCGCATTCCGGCAACTTTAACGCCAGGCTTCCATTAGCCACAGGTCCAGCTGAGGCGGGCGCCGTGCTCTCGTTCGCAGCGTCCGTTTTTGGGTTCGCGACAGGCTGGACGGCGTACGCGGCCGATTACACTGTGTATCAGCCCGTAGACCGGTCTGGTACCTCCGCCTTCTTCTGGACATTCGCAGGGCTGTCATTCCCACTCATTTTCACCGAGCTCCTGGGGGCCGCAATCGCGACGGCAATCATATCCAACCCGGCGTACAGCGACGCGTACACCGGATCGGGCGTCGGCGGGTTGCTCGCGGAGGTCCTGGTACCGCCCCTTGGCCGTTTTGGGCAGTTCTGCGTTGTGGTGCTCGCGCTGTCCATCATCGCCAACAACTGCCCCAACATCTACTCCGTGTCTTTGTCTCTTCAGGTTCTGGCGCATACTACGCAGCGTGTTCCGCGCTTTGTGTGGACGGCGGTCGGCACGGCCGTTTACATTGCGATCGCGATACCCGGCTACGACCACTTCGAGTCGGCGCTTGAGAACTTTCTCTTGGTTATCGGTTATTGGCTCGCTATTTACGAGGGCGTCTCCCTCACCGAACACTTTGTGTTCCGCCGCGGCTTCAAGGGTTACCAGCCTGAGGATTACATGATCCCAAAGAGGTTGCCACCAGGCTTTGCGGCCATCTCGGCCTTCGCTGCTGGTATTGCAGGTGCTGTGCTTGGTACGGCGCAGGTTTGGTATACAGGGCCTATTGGTAAATTATGCGGTGCTGAGTTCGGCGGTGATGTGGGGTTTGAGCTAGCATTTACTTTCACGGCTGTTACATATTTAGGCTTGAGGAGCTTGGAAACTTGGTATTTTGGTAGATAGACTGCGACACTTGTGTACATATATCGGATAATAGCGGATTATAAAGTATAGGCTGTTGATCGGACGTGGCCCCTATAAGGATGGCCATCACATAGGTGAAAAACATTATACGTAGGCAAGCTTAAATTCTATATATAGCACTACAATAGATCCATATCCTGACTAATACATTCTTGTTGAAACACTCATGTGGCACTCAACAACCATCCCTCGGTGATGCGGAATAGGGAGTTTTACCAAGTTGGAGGAATCCTATAATCTGCCGACAGATCTATATCGGCGGCTCTGAACATATCCATACTGCCCTCGACCCCATCCTGTCCAACTGTCCCATACACCAGTTTCGACAAAGTGTCTCCAATGTTCGAAAAGCCCTTTCCAGCCTCTGAGCTCGCTACCATTCACCCCCAAACGGCTTGAACCTATGTTGAAGTAAGTCGGCTACACTGGCTTCAGCGACTAAGCCCCCGTCACTTGCGATTGCGCCATTCTCTTGTCCGGAGCCGCGAAACGAGAAGGGGAGAACTAGATGGGAGCCTCCCTCCGCGTTATCTATAGCAAACCGCTCAACAGACTCAGAGTAGAGATCGGCTATAGTGGAATGACCGCCTCGAGGTATGCCATCGCGGAATTCTTGGCGGGACGGCATCAAAGAGATGATCGGGTTAGGTGAATGAAAATTGACAGTGCGTCGCTCAGCCGATGCAAATATGAGGACGGGCGGAAATACTGAGATTACAAGCCCATTTCGAGTGCTTTGGAACTTTTGCAATAATACCACAATCCGCCTCTGAGTCAGATCCGCCCTTTGACGCACCCCTTCACTGCTAATGAACCTCCATGTACGCCGAAACAACGTTATCACACATGGCTATTAGCCTGTCTGTTAAAAAGGTAAGGACCGCTATATGCTCTGGCTTAGTGTGGCATAATGGACACGATAGTAAAGCTTTGCCGTAGCGAAGTGCTTCTTTGTGCCTTAAGAGCCAGGGACCTAGCTCCATGCTATTTGTGTCGACGCTTCCACAGTCGAGCTCTTCCAGTATGAAAGTCACTAGTTGGACACACTGACATGGCTCTCGTGTTTGAGAATGTGGCCAATGGCGGCCCCCAGCAATTACTTGACTTCCCGGAGACAACCCAGTCGCGTGAATGTCTGAGGAGAAGGCTGCTTGTCGGGACGTAGGTGTCGGCGGCATCTCGTTATGGCCCATAATATTGTAATCCCATCTTTCCACTGATGGTAGTGAGAGTGGCACTGCCGATGGGTTCATGGTGTCTCCCTCCCAGGGTACCTTGGCAGGTGTGAGATGGTTTTCTTGCGCAGAGTCGGACCACGACAACGGCCAGGTGTCAGCACCCTGGCCAGTCATCTGGGCTGTAGAAACACCTTGAATTGACCAGTAATCCTGTGGTTCAAATGGCATCGTGTCAAACTCGAACGATGCTGGGTTTGTTGCATTGTTTCCGGGCTGAACCGATGCCACATACAGCTCGGCATTTGGTGCATTGGAGACGGAGGTGGAAGGGCCCGGGCGAGAAGAGGATGGCCAGGTCTCAGTTGTAGATGTGGGTATAGAAGTGGTCAGTGAAATACTGGCCGGGCGTGATGATGAGTGGGCATCATCGTCGATTTTAGAGGTAGAATCCTTGCTCTTACTCTTGCGTCTTGCACCATTCCGAGCATATACGCAGGACTGTAAAAGATTTTGGCAACGGGCACACCCAGACTTCTCACCGGAGCATCGGAGCTGTGATTAGAGTGTTAAAATAAATCGCCACTATTGAGTAGAGAACAGAGTCGAAGTAAGAGGGAGAACGTTTTCCGCTACCGACCTTTTTAATACGGCAGCTGTTACAAGCTTGCTGGACAACTGGTTTGGCAGTTTCGGGATCAAACACTTGCTGTTGATGTGTCTCATTCTCGTTCTTTGAGTTCAAGCGCCATGTTTGTAACATGTTTGAGGCTAAATAGGAGCTCTCGATAATATCATTAAATTGACCCGAATTTGATAGCGTGAAAAGTGAACAGATGCGAAGGGTATTCGAAGTGGACAAGGAACGCTCGGCGTATGGATATGAGAAGCACAACCATCAAGATTTAAGGCCATATACTATGCGATAGCAAAGACAGAATACCGTAAGATTGTTGAGTGAGGCCTCAATTTCGGCGACCACAACGATCCTGACATAGAGGGGGATGCATGGCACTTAGTGTCCTGGGCCCGAGTCTGTGGTTAGCTGAAGCGTACATGTTAACGACTCTCGCCAAGGCTTGCAGTGAAACTAACGATGTCATGGGGGCAATATCCCATTAATCTCTACACGTTATATACGGCTTGAGGTAGGGTAGGGCTGGATCAAGGTCCCCGTCTCCCATGTTGCATGACAGAGGACCCCGGCTACCCGACTACAAGGCACCATGTCAGGGGTAAATACTTACTTCTCAATGACAAACAGTGACTATTAGGACACTAAGTGGCGGGAGCTATCGCGGCCAAATTTGTGGCATGTGGTATGTGGGCGTTCAGCTCTCAACTACCGATGTCGATCTGTAGATCCGGAGTGAAGGTACCGTAAAAGTCGCTAAACGCTGCGCTAAATTCTAGTCTAGCAAAAGTACACTGCAGCAGATCTATCGCCTCTCAATTTGTACGGCAAGTGTGTTGATCGATCTTGCTAGAATTCGCCCCAGACATAGCAAAACCTTGAATAGAGAATAGAGGGAGTTCCATACAAAAGAAACCTTGAAATGCAAGTCGCTGACCTAGCTGCTGGATTGGTCCTAATGGCACGTGTATGGCCCGTGTTTCAGCGGGTCGGCCCGCACGTACAGTACTCAAAAGGCTTAGCCATTAGGGAATGATTATTGGAAATTGAGTAACCTACTGTATTTCGGATTACAAAACATTTAATTAGTGACGTGGTGAACGGCCAGCATGATTAGTAAAATGGTCAATATTATTCCAGTTATGGCTAATTATCAAGCATTAATGGTCGATGCGCATTTCCTCTTGTTATAACACTATGCTGTCGGGAGTAGCATCGCGAGAGTAGGAGGTGATTAAGTATTCTCTGTTTTCAAACCCTTATGCCCTGGTATGGAAACCTAAGCCTACACCGCGACCTACATAAGCCCAAGGAAAGAACATAAAAGAACCGATTTTACGGTGAATATTATATGAGTTGCCGGCCAGGTTCCAGTTGTGTCCGCATCACTCTGCAATGTCCCATCCAGCACTTCTGTATTAGAGGGTGATACGTGAACTTTGTTTCCGAAGAGTTTTCGTGGCCTAGCGGTTAGGGCGTCTGTCTTACAAAGTGGCTTTTGAGCCCTGAAGATCACAGAAGATCGCCGGTTCAATCCCGGCCGGAAACATTTTTTTGCAATTTTGCTCGTGCTCTATCAGGTCTCCCTTGCAGCATACTGCGTGCACTATTGGAAGAAGGTCTTGCTTGCCGTTTGAAAGGCAATTGGGTTTCGAATCCAGCTTAATGTGCGTCTTTGCTTGTAGTTTGTGGATAAAGTTGTCTTGGTACTCTGGTATTCTTTCTCCAATCTTATCGAGTACCTTTTGAAGAGCAGGCGTGGTAGACAAGGGTCTATCTCATATGTGGGACTAATTCCAATTTGTCACTGGGCAAGTCCTGAGCCGCTTGGAACTTGAAGAGCTTCAAGCACCTTAGCACTTCGACATAAAACAGCATAGCCATGAGCAACGTAGTAACCCGCGCTTTGCTGCGACAAAGATTCGCACAGCCCCAGACGGGGAGAGTGTACGTCCGTCCAATTGGTCCTCGAAACATCCTCGCTCATGCTCACAACAACAGCTACGATGTCGCACGTGCCAGCATCGCCACCAGCGCAGCAGCTCCCTACAGCATTCGGCCGATCTGTCAACGCTGCCTGCGGTCTCTCCCCGCTGCTCCCAGCCTAGCACTAGGTCTCCCACGCGGCTTGCGAGCTCTCCACGTGTCTCCTACCGTCTACAAGTCGAAGAAGAAGGAAGAAAAAGAGAAGCGCGCCGACGCCGGACGCGCAACGAACAACAATAGCAACGGGAAACCCTCTCCCACAGAGAGCAAAAACACCACCAGCACAGACGATGGACCAAAACATCCCCAGCCATCGCCCGAAGAACCCCTCAACTTCGCCGACGTCAAGTCGCGGCTACGCAAGCACGCCGAGCACTTCAGGGCGTCCTTCAAGAAACTGCACACGAGCGGGCGTTTCGACCCAGACGTGATCGGCGCGTTGCGCGTAACAGTGGACAAGAAAGAAGGAATAGTCTACCCATTACGCGAACTGGCGCAAGTCGTGCCGCGCGGGGGCCGCGCGGTCTCGCTGCTGGTGCACGACGACGAGTACGTCAAGCCCATCATGAGCGCGGTACAATCGAGCCCCGAGTTCAACCAGCAGCCGCAGCGGGATGCGGACAACGAGCTCGAGCTGGTCCTCAAGATCGAGCCTGAGAAGCGCGAGGATCTGGTCAAGAGGGTCAAGGCCACGGCGCACGAGTGGCGCGAACGCGTGCGCGCTGTCCGCCAGAAGAGGGATAAGCTGCATGCTACGTGGAAGAAGGACGGGACGCTTGGTCCTGACTTGAAGAGGACTGCGGATAAGGAGCTTGATAAGGTCATTAAGGCGACTACTGCCGAGATAGACGATGCCGAGAAGAGCGCTATCAAGGTCGCTGAGTCGAAGTAGAATAGCTGGTTGACTCATTGTACAAATATATATCTTGGAAGAGATGTCTGCCGAGAGCTCGGTTGCATATCATTTCGTTGCATAGAAGTATACCTTCGTGCTAGAGGCAAGGATGAAAAAAAAAGCACTATGTGCAAATATACATGTACATTATATAGAATTTGCTCTTTTACAAGTGTGGTGTATTGTACAGCAAGATCCGGAGCTGGAATCCAACTAGCTAGACATCTCATGGACACACATATCCCGAGTATATGTCCCTTGTCTTCAATGTTTACAATCCTACAACTTTGCTTCTCTCTCTAAGCCCTTGCACTCGCTCCACCAGCAGTCTTCGCAGGTCCTGTTCTACCACCAGGCAGCAGACTCCTGACCTTCTCCACGACGCGCCGTTCAACATCTGCGTTCCACGAGCTATCCCTCTTGATGTAATTCCGCACAGCACCAAGCGTATCCGTACGATCAGTGTACTCCGGGCCCTGGTACGTGCCGAGAAGCGTGTCCTGGAGGACCGCATCCCTGGTCTCCTTAGATACCGGCGGGAATTCCTCCAATTTCATCACGTCCGCCGACCATTTCTTCATCTCCTGAGTCGGGAAGAACACGCCGCTTCCCTCATTATACCGCTCCCACATCTCATCCGTCTGCAAGGTATTGAGGGGATGGAACGGTTGTCCGCTACCGAGGACCCGCACCTGGCGCAGCGCCGTCTCGCCCTTCGCAAAGCTTGAGCCGGCCGTCGCTACGGCGGGGCCCCAGCCCGCGAGGTCGCTCATCGAGATCGAGGGGTCGAATTGGTACGTCGAGCCGATCTCCTTGGCCTCCCGCCAGGCCTTGACCTCAGGGGAATCCTGCTCTCTCTCATCGGGTCCTTGTTCGTCCCTATCTTTCCGACCGCCTTTTCCTCGCCCTCGACCACGTCCACTTCCACGTGCCTGACCTCCCTCGCCGCCTCCGTCCGATCGCCTTCGGTTGCCACGGCGTGCTGCTCCCGTCGCGCCGGCTGTTCCGCCTACCCCGGTGCCGCGTCCACCTCGATTCATCCCTCCACCCCGACTCATGGCTCCGCCTCGGGGGCTGAAATTGGAACCACCCCTACCTCTGAAGCCACCTCGAAGCCCGCCGCGGATGACGTTGGGGCTGCCACCTTGGGAGGCGCTGGGGACTGTGATGGGTGCGGATTCGGACCGTAGGTCGAGTTTCCTGAAGACGGTAGACGATCTGTTGGAGGATTGTGACGTTCGCCCATCGTCCATTTTTACGAGGTCGTTGAAGGCGTCGGCGGCGCGTTGCCGTCCCGTCGGTCGAGAGTTACCGCCATCGCTAATGATATTGTTGTTGAAGCTGCTGTCCTGAGGTGGTGCGGCGAGTTGCTGAGCGGCGGAAAATGCGCGCAGAGTGGCCGCAATGCCGTCTGTAACTCGGCTGGCCTCTGCTCTCGTGCGGCCAACGGCCAAGTTGAATGGTTGTCGTATCATGGGGCTCAATTGATGTGGTTTCATGAACCTAGAAGGCTGTTGAGCTCCTTGTCCGAAATTTTGAGGATCAGGGAAGCTCGGACAGTTGGATTTTTCCAGGATATGCGTTAAAACGAGTGTTTCGTATAATGGATTTATGGATTTCACTCAACCAACACCACTACCGCGAGGTAAAGAAGTATTAGACTGCACAAAGGATGGATAGCGAATTGGATTCTGCCGTTTAAGTAATTAAAATATTGGGTTTCATCCGATTTGGCTTCATTTCGATCGAGTATATACAATTTATACGATATCATTCAGGCTCCATTGTTACATATATGCTGCTTAGCCCCCTAGGCTTTCCTAGCTCTGTAATGGCTTGCCCATGCCGCCGTACGTGATCATCTTGATATGTTGGTATTCCTCGATGCCATACTTCGATCCTTCTCTGCCAAATCCAGACTGCTTGACACCTCCAAACGGCGCGGCTGCGTCAGAGATAAGGCCCGTATTGACGCCCACCATACCAACTTCCAGGTTTTCCGCCACCCGGTGTACCCTCTCCAAGTCCCTGGAGAAGAAGTAACCGGCCAATCCAACCTCGGCAGCATTAGCTAGATCCACGACTTCCCGCTCAGTTTCAAAGGGGAAAAGGCCGGCAACGGGACCAAATGTCTCTTCGCACGCGATAGCCATGTCTTTCGTCATTCCAGTGATCACAGTAGGTTGGTAGAAATTTGACCCTAGGTCTGGCAACTTCTGGCCTCCCACGACAACTTTTCCACCTTTCTCCTCGGCATCTCTTACGTGAGCATCGACTTTGGATACCGCACGATCGTGGATCAGGGGTCCGTGGGTAATATCCTCGTCGAAACCGTTGCCAACCTTGAAGCCTTTCACCTTCTCGGCGAACTTTTGGGCAAATTCGTCGTAAATGCCCTTCTGGACGTATATGCGGTTTGCGCAAACGCACGTCTGGCCTGATGACCGGAACTTGGATGCGATAGCACCAGCAACTGCAGCATCAACATCGGCATCATCAAATACAATAAAAGGTGCATTCCCACCCAGTTCCATGGACATGATTTTCAGGGTCGATGAAGCCTGTTTCATCAGAAGTTTTCCAACTCCCGTGGAGCCCGTGAAAGAGATCTTCTGGATAGTAGGATGCGTCGTTAGAGTCTTACCGACTTCGGGAGTGTTATCGAGAGAGGTCAAGACGTTCACGACGCCCTTTGGCACGCCAGCCCGGTGCGCGAGTTCCGCCAATGCCAATGATGTAAACGGTGTCTCGCCTGGGGCTTTGCACACCGTTGTGCAGCCTGCGGCAAGAGCCGGTCCAATCTTACGCGTGATCATAGCGGCGGGAAAGTTCCATGGCGTGATCAGCCCGCAAACACCTACGGGCTGCTTGAGAGTTATCACTCTATTGCCTGGCACACTCGCTGGTATCGTATCGCCGTATGACCGGGGGGCTTCCTCGCTGAACCACTCGAAGAACTGCGCGGCATAGTTAACCTCACCCTTTGCGTCTGCGAAAGGCTTGCCGTTCTCTAAAGTGATTAACCTCGCCAAGTCCTCTGAGTTCTCCATGACCAGATCGTACCATTTCCGTAGCAGCTTCGATCGCTCGCGGCCGGTCTTATTTCGGAAGGTTTTGAATGCCTCGGCAGCGGCTGCGACCGCTTTCTCTGTGTCCTTTGCGTCGAATTCGGGGCAGGTTCCAATAAGTTTTCCTGTCGCGGGGTCATGAACCTCGAACGTCTTGCCTGAGGCGGCTTTTACCCATTCGCCGTTTACGTAGCAGACATTTGTCTTGAATAATGACGGGTCGCTGAGCTAAAGTTGTCAATTGAATTGACTCGTCAATGTCTCTCTCCTACACTTATGTGATACGCCCTCGCGGCCTCGCCTAAAAGGTGACTTACCTTTGGAGGCATTGTGGAAGCTAATCGTGAAGCTACCAATGGAAGACTGGTTCTCTGAAACTGCGACCTAAAGGCAAATCGTGTGGAAGTGACAGCAGTCTTCTGTAAACTGTTTATCAATGCCATAATGAATAATCGTACCACGTGTGAGAGCAAGAATCGATAGGCTAACTATCACCGAAGGAGCTAACGGAGCTGCAGGCTGAATCAGCCCAAACGCTATTGAAATGCTAAAGGAGTTTGTGGTATATGGGTCATTGAATTGGAGGTCTGAATGTTTGTT